ATAGGTATTTGTGTCACATGCAACACCATATAGAGCTGTGGCTTTAAATGTTAAACTGCTTTGACAGATGGACTATATTATGCCTTATAGAAATGTAATTTTCCTGTATAACTGGCAGCCTGTTGGCTCTGAGTTCAGCACAGTAATGTATTAACAACTCCTGCACCCTCAGCCTATTTCCTGAATTAGTTTTTGTATTAAAATAGGGACTATTCCTGGTTATTTCATTTTTGACCTTTACTTCTCCTCTACCTCCTCTTTATTTTATTTTATTATTTTATTATTTTATTATTTTATTTTATTATTTTATTTTATTTTATTTATTTTATTTTATTTTATTTTATTTTATTTTATTTTATTTTATTTTATTTTATTTATTTTTATTTTTAGACACTAGCTAGCATACGAATAAATCAGGTGGTAACTTAGGACTGGGTTAGTGATGCTGACTTTCCTATTCCACCTCTGTTTCTAGCCTCTGTAGACCAACGTACAGTAGATCATCAATTACAGAATGTAGAAGTATATAATATCATAGCTATGTGCTTCAAGGTCTCTTGAACCCTGAGTAATTACTTCAACTAACAGATGACCTGGTGCCTAATTAGTGAGTCATTTGGAATCAGCACACACAGTAAGTTATATTTCATATAAGACATTCTGCTAAGTCCCTTGGAAGGCTATTTTTCTTCATTTTGAAAAAGAAAAAAAATAATATATATATATATATCCATTGGCCACATTTAAACAGTTATTGCCAATTAGCTCTGAGGAGAGCGTGTCATAACACACAAAATGCCACAGACTTTGAAAAAAACAAAATATATTGTCTGGTGTAGTAATAACTTTGATGTCATAATTATGATCATGTAACTAACAGTGAATAGCTGGGAAAAGGGTTCTAGCTATGCCTGCAAACTGGTGCTGTTACATAGCTACCAGCTGCACAGGAATTAAGTTTTACAAATGCTTTCTGTAACTGTTGCATAGACCTTGCTCCAATGCCTTTCAGGTTTCTTGGTGACATGATTCCTACCACCTTTTAAAAAACAATGCAGTTATCAACAAACCAGATTCATTGCTCAGAGCCCTTAAAAACATTTCTGAATCCAGAGATGTCCAGCAAATGCTATGTATCCTTAATCATCCTTATTTTCTTGTCTTGGTGAGTTCACCTCTCAGAGGTGGGAAGGTCATTTTTCTCCTTGGAGATGCTAATGAATTCTAAGGCATAATCTGAGAGTGATTTATCTTAAAAGGTTTGTAATTCCCACATTAAAGTGTTCTATTCAGGGTGGGGAAAAAAAATCCTCTCTGAACTGCCTGCACTAAGCCTATGGTACTTGGTGATCCTCTGGTAATGCTGCTCTGTGAAAGTGTCTGGAGTCTCAGAGGATTATTGGAGTGGTTTGAGACTCATCAGAAATGTCCCCCCAGCTCAAGCATAGTTTATAGTACACTAGCTTTTAAATGTGATGCTATCTAGTTACACAGACTGTTGGGTGTTCTGGCAGCCACAGAGCAGACCCGCTCTTATCGCTTCATCTTGGCAGGCAGTGGGGAAAAATCTTCACTTTGGTAATTTGGACCTCTGAACTCAGCCAGCTATTAGAAATCTAAATTTTGCCAAATGCTGGAATTAAAATCACAAGGTGGTAGAAGCCAAGTTTCTTATAAAAGAAGTAGACCTGCCAAAAAGATATGACATAGGAAACTAGGTTGGAAGTACATACTGTTCTTTGGTTTTGCTCTTTTGTTTTGTTTTTGTTTTAATTATTTCTTTTTCCAGTGCAAACAATGCAGATTGTTTAGATCATGCATATATAATACATGTTAACTTTATAGTCTTGTATATAAAAAGTTCATGTGGTATTGTGGGAATACTCTTACACAATTTTCATCATTGCCAGTATACATCAAAAAATCCGCCCCTTTTAGTTTTGAAGTAATAAGTCCAATGTGTATGGGACAAACTGGTCCTCCATCTAAACTCAGCATGTGCATTTGGTTGCCATGTGTTAGAGGTACTGCTTTGTGACTGGAGTCTCATATAGGGCAATATCTAAGTCTCTGAGAAGACTGCACAGTGCTGTTCAGCAAGTCTTCTTTACTTGTTTATTCAAATTTAAATCGGAATTGTAAAATGGCTTTGATTAGCTTCTAATGTTTTCAGATACTTTTGCACATCAATAGATGCAAAGGAAGTTTTATGAAATCTTACACACATTATTAGTTTTTATATCGTGTCTTGACTTGGTCCCTGATTTCAGAGAGAAGAGTTTAAGTCAGTACCAAGAATATTAATATTGTTTGAGGATTTGAAGCTATGATTTTAGATTTTCAAAGGTCTGGTTTACCATCCTAAAAATAACTTAACCAGACCTGCCATTATGCCAGGGCCAGCAAATTAATTCCTGAATGTACAAATACTAAGTCTGTAGATAGGAAAAGAACAAATAAATTGCTCTGGATTTAGAATACCTTATATTCATTGAAGTGCAAAACAGAATTGAAATATATGTGTGTGTGTGTATATAAATATATACACACATAAATATATGTCCTCGCAAACAGTTTCCCCACAAAAAAAAATCACACACACATTGTCTAGTGACTACCAGGTAGATCATGCTGCAGCCTTACTGCTTTTTTCACCTGTGGGTTGTTGTCACATTTTGTGGTTTGTTGCACTTTATAATGTTTCTTACTGAGAGGCCATCATTACAGGCCTGACTGAATACTGGAGTTATGAAGAAGAAAAGGCATCCCTGATGGAGAATAGATAATGACAAAGACTTTATTCTCCTGTCCCAACCATCAGCTGAGTGGGACCTGCTATCAGCAGTAACTGAGCCTTGAATCGCACGTTTTCAATGCTGCAGGCGGGAGATGGTCTTGAGTTACAAAGCTAAGTCTCACATCAATTAAAGTCTGTATGCACAGCAGCTGCATTCAGAAAGGTGGAGGAGATTTAATCTTCACCTTTCACCTTGGGTCAAAATACAAGGTTACCAAGAGAGACTGTTATTAAAATTGGATTGTTTCTGCTAACTTAACATTAAAAGTTTGCAGTTATTACTGAAGTGCTTTATTACTTGCTCCCTTTGTTAAGGAAACTTGCAGTTAAATAGCAAGGAAGTAATAAAACAGTTGAAAGGAACAAATAAATATTTATGACGGACTTCCAAAGTCTGTAGCAGTTCTTTCTTCTTGATTAAAAATTAGAGAATAATTCTCTACTGCATCTCATTGGCAAGTAGGGTAATTATACTGGTTGAGTATAAAGAGACTTCCAAGATTTAATGCTAAAGGTGAACTTAGCATGAGTGGATATACAGTGGAAGCAAGGTCTTTTTCTCTAAGAATATTCACTTAAACTAACCCTATATGAAGCACTATGGAGCTTCTCAGCTCTATCTCAGGAATTGTATGTTCAAATTTATCTCACCACTGAAGTCTCTGAGCATCTTTCCATAGTTTTTCAGAGGAAATTGAATAAAACCCTAGGGGGAATGTAGTGCTGATCTGTGTTCCCAGAATGCACTAACAGTAAACAAGGTGTGATTGATCACATGGGTGACATCACTGCCTTTCAGAAGTAGTCTGTGATTTGAATTTGAGGCCAAGCATCTTCCTATTCAAATAAGCAAATTCCTATAGCCCTCATACGCCTTAGCATTTAAAAGAAGAAGTTGTCCTAGAGAGACAAATGCAGATATTTTCTGTGTTTTTATATGGCCTATTTTCCAAAGTTTTGTGAAGAAATATTTAACTGCAAGAATATAGATGCATTTTAAAGATGGGGTCAAAACCTGTGCTTCATATTGGTAAAGGTCTGCCACTGCTAAAGTCAATGGAATCTTTGTCATTGACTTGGAAGGCTATGAATGAGCTGCCTGTGAACAAGGGGAACTCTTACTGTCATTAATTTACAGAAATTTTGTCGTTCCAGTTTTACGTCATTAACTTCAGGTAGAGTAAAGCTGTCATAACAGGAAAGAGTAAGCAAGCTGTGCTGGTATTGACTCTTACTCTTTAAGGATAATGTTTGGAGAGACAAGTCAGCCAATAAAGTTGAATTTAGGGAAGGAATTCTTGACCAGTGTAGGAGTTAAATACACAACTTGGTGTCTGTGCAAGCTTGAGTGGCACTCACGCAGTGGTGGTGTCCCTTTGAGAAAGGGACTCAAACTACACATTAGTTCTCTATAACAAAGAGTGTATATTTCATGATGTGCACTGTTTGAATTATAACTGAATATGACTTTTTAATGTATTCCAGACATGTTAAGCAACAACTGAAGAAGTATGTGGAGCATGTTCTAGTTTTTGTTCTAAAACACATGTATTTTATTTATAATGTGGAAATGGTACAGTCATCACAACAATTACATTCTGACATTTAACTTTTTAATCAAAAACAATACCTTTATTAAAACTGCAATGGAATTTTTAAATAATTACCTCATTCTATTTAGGGTTTGAATGTTGCAGTGTGAAACTCACCATCACTTGTGCATTAAAAAAAATTGTCCAGTAGTTACAGGACTGGAATAAGCCATAGGCAGATAAGACATGGATCCCTGGTATCATATGGTGATTTTCATTCAAAAAGACAATAATTTTCTGTGATTGAATTTTCATATATGAAAATGTTTATAATTCAGTTTTCATACATGATGATTAAATAAAGGTTAAAAATATGAATGGAATGTAACTGTCAAAGTGTCTTCCTGAGCCTGCTGAAAGCCTTAAACGGAGTTGTGTGAGCTACCTCTATTACATGCAAGTGTAAGAATTCTGAATATATATATATATCTCCAAATATATATTTCCAAAAGGGCAACGTAGCTTGCATCTGGAGTCCAAGGACAACTACCAGCAAATGCTTACAGACCTTGTTTTGCCTTGAGGAGAAAGGAGGAGTAATAACAATGAGGTAGTACTAATTGAGGGGCAAGCTTGACCTGTGATACTTCTCTTACTTCTTTCAAAAACAGGAAGCAACACATACTCCCACTGCAGTGAAGAACTGCATAGAGGAAAAGCCATCATGGGCCACAGGAGATTTGATATTTTGGTGTCCAAGATTCCACTGGAGTCTTCAGGTGCCACTGCTAGGGATCTTCTGAATCAAATGTTCAGGTAAAGATGTCTGAGACATATGGTCTGTACTGCTGTCACAGGTTTTCTAGCAGTAGCTGAAAGGTGAGATTTGTTTTGTTTTGTTTTTCTTGTTTGTTTTTTTTTTCTTTTTTTTTTGGCATGGAATGGAAGAAAATATTTGTTTTCAAACAATTCAGTAAATGAGAAGACAAGAATTTAAAATGTTGAATAAAAAAGCATATAAAGTCAAAAATAACGTATAAAAAAATAAAGATTTTTAAGCACTAAATGTATTTTTGTTAATTAAAAGTAGTCCTAGTGGCTGATGTAAATTCTCAGTTGATGGAACAAGGTTTCCTAATCAGTTGTTGACAAAATGAGAAAGGAAATGCATTTTTAGTAATCATCTCTCTACTGGTCTTCATAGAGCTTTGAAAATCTAGTTCTCAGAAAGAGAAAAGGGAAGAAAAAAAAAAAAAAAAAGAGAAAGAGAAAGGCAAAGAAAGTGGGAAGGGGAAGGTGGAGAGAAAGGGAGAAATTGCCTTGCAGGTTAGAAACAAGAAAAAATCAGTCATGTTTTTTCTGTAAGTCCACTTTTGCTTATTCAGTGCTGTAACATTCAACTTGCAAAGTCTTGAAGACACAGAAGTCTTGATTTTGCAGCAACCTCCACTCAGAAGTCTGTCCTGACCTCAGGGCTTTGACATAGCTCTGCAGAGTACCTCCATATGCTTCCTCTTGGCTTCACACAGGTACCAGGACCACTTGCATGCAACCTTGTATAGAGCTGTTTCTAGAGTCACCTGAAATAACATTGGCAGTACCGAATATAAACACATCACTGTGTGCCACCTTATTAAACACAGATGTGGCTCTTATGAGGGCCTAGTTATCTAGAGGTGCCTTACCTTCATTTTCTTGGGTACCAGTGTCCTACAAAGAGATCTCTGTTGTACTGCATTACTGCACTGTGGGCAGAAACAGCTGCAGTTTCAGGTAGGGGCTGCATAGATATAGGGCAGAGGTGTTCCTTCAGCCCTTACCTCCTCAGCAGTAAGGTCAGAAGGCCATATTTTTTGTTTTTGTTGTTGTTTTCATATAGAATATGTTAAACACCAGACTTTGCAAGCCTTTGGTAATGCTTTGAAAATTGACCAGCAAAATCTGTAAAGCTTTATAGTTAACATTTGAAAATATGATAATTGCTACCTGTTAATGTATTGAACTAGGAAGCCAAAGATATTACATACAAAAATGTCAGAACAAGTACCAGAAATACATTTAGCTGAGGCCTTTCTGGTTTTTAGTGGGGTTTTGGTGTTACTTTATTTTTAAATGTCTCACTATCTGTGGTTAGTGTATAATTTGCTTCTGGTGAGAGGCCTGATAAAAGCTGGACTAGTCTGAATGATTTCTTTTTTCTTCACTACAATTCTTATACAAATTTTCTGATTTTAATTAGGCTTCTACCAAGACTTTTCTGCTCCAGGACAGAATTCGTACCAAAAATAGGTACTGATGGGGATTTCAGTAACATTTCAGTAACCGTGTGTTCAAAGATGTTCCCTGGGCTGAGGGAAACGTAGTCACAAGCTTTTAGCCCAAATCAGAAAAATGAGATTTCTGACCACCAGGCTTTTAACTGGCAGTGCATGGGGCTCTCCTGATTTTTTTTTTATTATTTTATTTTTTTTTACATAAAACTTCAAAAGGCCTTGTTTTTCATCCCAACAGGGAACAGGAAAAGATTTTGCTTGAAAGCTGAAACGGTTTAATGGTACAGAAACACCATTTCATATCCATATGTAATCCAGAATTGAGTTTGTCAGTGCAGTCTGAATTTTGTCTTTGATCTCTAAAAGGGAAAAGCAGCCCATGAAAATACTGCTGAACTAAAAGAACATAAACAGGCTTAAAATACCACATTCTGGTAGAGAGTAAAACTACATTCTGATGTAGCATATCTGACCAAATCCAGTGCCTGGTGGATTTAGAAAGAAGACTGACAGTGCAATAAATTTCAAAGTTTTGAAATTTAATTTTATTTTTATCTAACCTTTTCCTGAATATCCTTGCTGAATTTTAGTTTCATTATCTAATCCTTGGTATTTTGCTTTCCCAGAAGTATAGCAGGACCAGTCACTTCTTGGCAAAGAAAATAAGCATCCAGCGGTCACTATCTGGCATGGATTTCTCTGAGGAGATCTTGTAATTTGATGAATACCTCAGATGTCTTAATTGATTCTTGTTTAACAACAGACTAGGAGACAAACAAATAATGTTCTGCCTCTCCCAAAGTTTTGGAGAAGCATGAGCCAAGCACATTCCTTGCAGCACCTGTGAGGCAGCTTTGAGGGCTCTCATCTTTTACAAAATCAACAAGAGCTCCTTTGACTAGAAGCACCGAGCATGCAGGGTCCTGGAGCAGGAGGCTGTTATACCACTGTAAAGGCTGGTACAACTGGGGCATTTTCAGCATATGTTAAAATTCTGGTATGCCACACGCACCTTTCTCTGCTGATCTTTATTGAGTCCTGTAGGAAGGGATGTACCAGTAAGGGAAATGAGTTCCATATAGCTAGCATGAAGCTATTGTCAGCAGAAGGTAAGGAAAGTATAACATATTTATCAAAAGAGCTGTAAGAGCACACACTGAACTTTCTACTAGGTCAGCAGGGAGAAATGGGGCTCTGAGTGACCTGAGATGGCTTAGCCGTTATCTGACTTTTACTCTGATTTTATTCATGGAAAACTTATTTTCCTCTCTGTGCGCTACAAACAACTAGTCACCTAAACCATTAAGTAATGAAATTCAAATGTACTGAGTTAATCACTGGAAAAGTGCTTCATCTGAAAACTCCATGGGGGATCACGTTTCAGAACACTAGTGTCCTTGTACAGTATGCATTTCCTCTTTGGTTCATGGGTTTGTTCATGCAGAGATTTTCAGTAATATTAAATTGCTGCCTGAAGCCATGCCTGACTATCTTTTTCATTAATTACCTTCCATGGCTTTGGGACAGATTAACTAATAAATATATGGATCCCTGGTGTAGTAACCTTTACCATGTACTTAGAAAAACTGATACACATGTGATCTCAGAATCTGTTAAAAACTTTTTTTCTTTCTTCTTATAGATTACTACTATGCTCTTGCTATCAGAGTTGCCTGTTCACAGTGCCATATTGTGCTTGCTAAAAGGTGCTGCTAACCCACCAGCTAGGACCTCTACCACACACTACACCAGACCAAAAGGGATAAAGGTATGGCTTTTCATACAGTGTATTTGTTTCTTTTTTGTTTGTTTGTTTGGTTTTCTTCAGTGTTAATAAAGATATAAAAAACTGCATAATCCCCTATATTGTCCATGTTATGTGCTTATTGAAGCACAATGGATGCTTCAGATTAGGCAAAGTAAAGCAAATTAAAAAAAAAATAAAAATCTACATTTATTTTCTTTAGGAAAAGGTCTCAGAAACTGGTCATTCTGGAGGGATCACAAAAAAAAAAAAAAAAAAGTAGTAAGTGTCCAGTTTCTGATGCAGCTCAGTTTTATGTTTCTCTAACCTGCCCTCCAGGAAACTGCCTGTTGCAAGTTATTTGAATGGTATACCTCCTACTTCTGTGTCCAAACTTTGCTCAGATTTTTAAATTCAGCAAGAAGCACTTGCAGTACTAGTTCTGTGTCTGGAAACCTGGTGTTTTCTTTGCTTTAATTGTTTCTTGTTTGGTATTCTCACTGCATAATCTAGGTAGTAACCTAGTTACGTGGTATTAATGAATGAGAACCTTGAAGGGGCTGCTTTAAGATTGCCAAATGTAATCCCAAAAACTTTGCTTTAGGCTACCATTGTCAGAAGAATCATTTGACCACAGCCCAAAGAATTCAAATAAAGCTGGGTATCAGTGTTCTAAAATCATGATTCTGTGGCATAAATTCCATGATTCCACCACTTATAGAGAGTTGTCTGAACTTTTTTTTTTTTTTTTTGCATACTTGTTTCTAAGATCATTGCGTTGATATGTGTAATCAATTATAATTAATACAAGATAAGACCATCTATTTACCAGGAAAGGTTCTTAGATGAACTAATCTTTTGACTAATGACAATGTAGTAGGCCAGTTTATGCCTAAGTCCATTCAACAGGTAGGATCTGAATCAGTTATCCCTTTATCAGTTACCATTACAGCAGCACTCATGCATGCATTACCTTTTTTTGTATAATTTCTTTTGTCTTGTGTAATTGAAAGGATGGTTTTGAACAGCATGAGAGAGTATAAAATGCAGTTAGGGTGATGCTAAGGGAGGAGGAGTGAGTTAAAGAACATTTTATTCCTCTGGTAAAGCTGCACTTGAACAAGTCACAGTATTGCATCCAAATAGGTAATTATGCAAATACAGATATGGAGAAGAAGCTTATAGGGCAAGATTCACGGATGAGACTAAAAGTTGAGTTTCTAGGTTAGGATTTTTGAATCTGTTTGCTACTGTTCTGTTAAACATTGTTTTGGAGCTCCCAGCCACGACACATTAGATCTAGACCTATTTTTTCCTCTGTATTTTCCCTATTTTCCCACAGAATTAAATAGTCTTTTTCTGTTACTCCCATATAGATTAAATATTCTTTATAAGGTTGACTGGAAAAGGGAGACAGTATTTAGTTGAAAAATATTAAAAGGCCCAGTCTTAGTAAATAAATGTAAAGATAGAAAGTTATATGGGAAGAATAGGGAAGCCAGTCAAACTGTTACAGAATCACAGAATCATAAAAGCTTTAAATACAGAAGAGAACTATGGGGAGGATAGTGCAATAAGAGCATTTTTAATTTGTTAATAATCTTTGACACTTTACTTCATTAGAAGGTATTTTGAAAAATGCCAGCAAGACTATTTATGTCCTAAAAAAATATGAAAGTAACATTGCTATTCTATAGTTCCTTAGGGTGCAAATAGCCTTGGCTTGCATGCCCAAGCAAGCACATCAGTTTTATAGCAACCTCTATCCTCTTGAGCCTTGAACACTCCTATTGCTAAGCATCCATATAATTTATGCCTATAGAACTACAGTTCCTCAGAGTAATTTTTCTTCCATCTGTTCAGCTTGAATGGAGAACATTTGTTAAATGATGTTTGGAGGGATGTTGGCAGTAAAATACATGCCCACCCTGATGTTAGGCTAGTTAACTGGTCATTCTAGGCACAAAGCTGACATTGTTAGATGGCACAGAGCTTGAACAAGTACAAATATAAGAGAATGCATACTATCCTTTGCTTATATACTTGAGTATTCTTTCCCATTGTTATTTTAGAAAGAATCAAGATAAATAACAAAATGCCCACTTAGAATAATTAAAGGTAGTTGTAGTCCACCTGTCAATTGTATAAAGTCCAGTCCTTACAGCCTGATACTTCTTCAGATTCAAGGAGCCAGAACCATGTAAACATTGAAAGTAATTATGTCTCCTACTCCTCTTCTTCCACTTTTTTCTTCCTAATGTTAGTTGTTACAGAAAAGAGTCAACTTGAGTTTCAGAGTGTCTGCCAAAAAGCCTCTGGGATTCCCGGGAGGACTGAATTTTACATTCTTCAGCAAACAGTGTCCATCTCCAGAAATACAAGAGGAAAGAGGAAAACATTATTTTTCTTTTTCATGTAATATCAGTCTAAGCCTAACAGAGCTTTTCTTTTTTTTTTTAATTTTCATGCCTGAGAAACATCTTGTGTTGATGTTAGTTTATGCCTTTTTAACCTAAATTTGTTATCTTTAAGCAGCTGCTAAAGTGTAAACAAGTTCTTTTTCTTTTCTTTCTTTTTTTTTTCTTTTTTTTTTTTTAAAAAAAAAAGGCTTTTAACTTATCCAAAAGCTTCACTGCTATTGTGCTTATTGGACTATGCTAAGAGCGGTGAAAGAACATTGAGTGAAGCAAATGTTTGGTGTATTTGAAAGCCTTTCTAAACTGTAAATCTTTTCCTTTCTTTTCAGCCTTCTCTTTTTCCTTACTAGTAGAAAATTAAATCAAATAGTTAGCCAGGAGAGAGAAATATAAGAATATAACTGTGATTCTTTTTTCAAGTATAATAGTGAAAGAGTTTCATGTTTCTTTAGTAACTTTACACATAAAAACTCATGTATGATCTAGATTTTCAAAACTGATATTGGATGAGCATTTTAAAGGAGGCCTGATTTTTTTAAAAAGCAGGAATTAAAGAACATTGTTCCTTTTAAGGTAAATTAGGCTGAAATCTGACCTATTTAGATTATTTATACACAGAAAATACACACATTTCCATTTCCCTGCATCACCCCAACTCTGTATTTCCCAGGACACAAAGACTTTCCAAAGATTGATTAAAAAATAATAATATGGTAGGAGGGGGCAATGATATTGAGCATGTTGCATGCAGACCAGAGATTTGTGCATATAAAGAGGGAATGCAAAAGATGACTTTCAGAAGTGAAGTTAGTTACCATCTCTGTTGATGTACAGCCCATGTCCAGCCAAATTACTGCCACCAGCTATGAGCACTTCTTTAAGTTCATAGGATGTATAAATCTCTTCAGACTGTGATAGGAAAACTCGATAACTAAGAAAAAAGTCATGTTGCCAAATTATTCCATACTTCTTTCTGGGTTGTTGTTGTTTTTTACCTTCTTTCCTTCTTTAACATGAGTTCTGGTAGATATGCAATTGACAAGTAATGATATTTTCTTAAAAACCTAAGGCATACACCCAAGGAAATGCACAGAACTTTATTTTAGGACTAAACTACACCTGTCTTTAGCTAGTACCACTTAAAGTGTGGATCCAGAGTCTTCTGGCAGAGTGAGACCAACAAGTAGCTTGTTCATCGTGGCATTATTTAAAACCACCAAAGGGCCATGCAGAGCTATGTGCAAGCAATTTGTACCCCAGCTGGTAGGCAGAAGTTTTTGAAATAAAGAGCACTTCTGGGTGTTTCCTCTCTTCCATATGATCTGAAAATTATTCAGAAAATTATTTTCTTTTAGTCTGTACTCTCTGCTGTCCTGCCTTGAGTGTTTCTGTAGCACATGAAGCACTGCTGTTGTCCCCTGCAACTTGGTCCTATCCATGAACACCTGGTAATCTGTTTTGGAATAAATGTGTGTTCCCATACCTGCTTTATATTTATGTTGGAGAATAGAAGGGTGAAAGAAATGTGCCTTAAGCTGGAGCTAAAGGCAGTTTGTTTATGAAAAAACTCCCTAAATAAACAAAGTTTATGAAGCAAACTCCCTGAAGAACCTTTGCTTCCTGCAGATTGGAGAAGGTGGTAGGGAAAACATTGCACCAGCTGCAGATTTCTTAGGGTTGCCTGGCTCTTGAGGGTGTGTGTGTGTGTGTGTTTGGGAGAGCAGAAGGGTGAGTAAGCCCTACTGACAGCATTTACTGCAGGAGAAGGGGAAAAGGGAACCACTGTAGGGCTCAAGTGAGCCTCCTGAATAGAGGTGTGATTTGTCACAGGATTTGCCTATTGCAATTGACCTAACTTTTCTTTCCTTTGGTCACCTGAGACGCTTCATATACTTAAACCTTACCAGGTCCCTTCATGTACACTGCTGGAAAATCCTTGCTATGTTTTTGCTCTGTAGAATGCTTTTAGTATTCATTCAGAGAGCAAAATAATATGTCATAGCGTGGTACTCTGTTGGAAAACCATTTTCAATGTCAGAAATACAAACAGACTTCTATAATTTTAGCTTGAATATGTTGCAGCATCAGGGACACGATGTGCTAGGTGATGGGATTTTTTATTCCTAAAGTGACATTTGTTTTTTTCACATAGCAAGATCTAGGCAATTTTGGTATTGCTTGTCACTCAAAAGTGGAACAAATAGTACAACTCTGTAATTTTGCCTGTGTAGCAAACTGTTACTGATGTGGATTCAAATATGGAACTAAACTAAATTATCAAAACTACTAGAACTGTACATGTATAAAATGCACTTAGGCATACTAAATCTTATTCTACTCATCTCATTTGCCATTTTGGAAATAGTTGCAGTGAGCTGGCTTAGCAGATGCCAACTATCTTGAGCACAGCTGAAGACTCCAGCTTGGTCCTGCGTGTCCAGACTGGAGCTTTACCACCTGCATTCAGTCCTCCTCAGATTCTATAACCTCAGGACAGTGCTGCAGAAAGCAAGCCAGCTGAGTGATTTAATACACAATTTTCTCCACTCAGAACTTCTACAGATTTCATTCCACGGTAGAGGGCACTGTGCAGTTGGAGTTGGTCCTCTCAAGAAATGCTGCGTTAACTCCTGGTTTCTTGCAGGCAGAAAGATTCCAGGGCACTCTTCAAACTTACAATTTTAGCTCTTCTCTATGCTCATGCCTAATTAAGGTAGTTCTATTTTACTTCAGCTCTTTCTTTGGTTTGTAACAGATTTTTTTTTCCTCCTCTTTGTCTGCTCTGCTGCCATGCATTGTTAAATAGCAGCAGTGTTCCATCCCAGATATGGCTATATTTTAGTGGTCAGCAAGTACATTGCTTTACTGAGTATTTAGTTTAATGCCTTGTGGATCTTTCTGTATAAAAAGAGCTCCATTGAGACTAAGAGGATATTATTATTCATAATGTGGTGACTAGTTTCACACATGGCTGAAGCAAAATAAATCATCACTGTTTTTAACAAAACAGTGAGTAGACCTCTTGTTGACCACAGCATATTTGTGGTCAGCAAAGAAAGAGTCTTTTATAGCTATTAATATGCTGCCAAGGTGCTTTAGCTGAGATTTTTGCCCTAAGGGAGGTGGGCTTCCACCACCACATATTCATGTTTCTCTGCTAAGCCCATTTCCAGAGCCCTACCCTTACAAAGGAATTTGATACATAAATCCAATCCTGAAAAGAGAAACTGGTCACTGAAATAATTGATACAGATGAATATTGCCCAGATGCTGAATCTGATAAGAAAATGAACAATGCTCTTGGTTGTTCAAGCAGTATTTTTTGGTTCTGAGCGGCCCTACTCAAAACAGCTAATGTGTCAGCCTTTCTGTGATGCACAACAGCATAAAGCCTACGTACCCTGAAGGTTTTAAGCAGACGTAAAGGATATCAAAGCTTCACACTGATCCTCTGGTTGTTTATGCTTCTGGTTCTGTGCAGTTAAACTGGAGTTCAAATATTAGTTATATTTGGTCTGTTTATTACATGGTAACCAGAATAGTGTTGTTTGGGGATGCTGTCATCTACTGATACAGCACCCATACAATGATACATGTCTTCCTTGGACCAGCCTGGGGCAAAACAGCAGTTTCTCACTGAGAGTCCTGCTGAACAGACACTGACAGCAGCCAATGCTGCTTCTTCAGAGCTTCCTCTTATTGCTTTTCAGAACTTAATGTTAACTTTCAGCCTGCACACAGACATCTGCCCAACTGAAAGCCCCACTAGAAATTGTGAATGCTTTTCTAGTCAAAAAGTAGGACATTTGAATACATCAATACACTGATTAAAGAGTGAAGAAAAAAAAAAAAAAAAAAAAAGTAGTAGTCTATGATGGGATTAGCAAGAAGAAAATATCCAAAGAAATATAAAGAGTCATGGGTAGTATGAGAAGGGAAGGAATATAAAATAGGAAGGTTCTTCTACATAGGTTCTTCATGTAAACCAAAAGAAAAACCCTTACTTTAAAGGCTTACATTTGACTCAAGCATGTCTCTTGACATACCCTTTACAAAAGGCCCTGCTCTGATCTCAACTGAGTATAAAAAGGAACCATCCCCACTGCACTTGATGAAAGCTTAGTGAACTTAAGGGAGGGGAAACCTCTGTGAAATAAGAAGCAGGATCATCCTTACAAACTTATCTAAATGTTGTTGTATCTCTCCAAACGAACTCCTAGATTTACATATTTGCAAACATGAAAAATGCAAATACTTTATTGAAGACATTTCTCAGCTTTCAATGTATTAATAAATAAGCCTAGCTTGCATTTTTGAAGCATACAAAGTGCACTCTTTCTGTTTACATCACTCTCCAGAGATAACTATTTACGTGAAAGAAATGGTTTCTGCTATCTCTAGACTACATTAAAATCATCCATTGTCTGACTTTTTAAAATCTATTAAATTTTTTCATGGCTGTTTGTCTAAAGGTTTTCTTCAACCTGCCACTTGCCGAAGGTAGACCAAACTATACCCTCCTATAGAAAGGCTATGTAACTGGAAAAATGAAATTTATTGAGATTTAGAATCTCTGTGTGTGAATGGAAATCAAATTAAGTATTTTATTTACAAGAGTACATTGCACTAAAAATTGTCTCAAAAGGAAATAGATATATATTATATGTGTATCTATGTATCTACATAGACAAATGTAGGCAAAGATGATCCTATGTTCTATTCTACCTTTCTATTCTATTCTTCTATATTCTGGGCAGACCAGATACAACCCATTTCAGAAATGATGTGACTGAATCATCATCACCGTAAAGCTATAACCAGATAGTGTATATTATTTCTTATTAGGATAGTTATAGCTTACAGAAGGGTTTTGAACAGGAAATGGTTTCTTTCTGTATAGGTACATGCTTAAAAACACACTAGGTACTTTGGACAACTTCATACTGCCACTGTCCTCCACCAGCAAGTAACAGCTTGGTGCGCAGCTGTGACATGTGAGGTGTTTTTTGGTGCTGACAATTCTTTGGAGAAATAAAAATGGAGATTATGAAATTCAGCTGAAGGAATCAGATCTCAGCAAATCTAATTTTCTATCAACTGTGGTAAACACCCATGCTCCACAAATTGAGCTCCTTTTAGACACTTGGCAAACAAATACTTTTTCTAAGTAAAGCCTAAGAACTAATTTCCTAAAGTTTCCTGGAATTCTGTCTATGTTTATAGCTACTGTAATGCCCACTGTCTTATTCATCATCTTGGGGCTTTTTCTTTTCCGCATTAGTGCTAAATACGGACTGTTAAAGAGGTCTTGATTTGGTAATGGTTAATTGCACAGTTCCTGCTGAAGCAGTTCTCTTAAGTTGCTACGGATCAGAAAGCATGAATGGTAGGAACAGGAGAGCAGGTGACATTTGACTATGCTTTCCTGTGGGGAAAATTTTCTCTTTTGTTGTTTCAATACCAATTTTGTGTAAATGTAATTAGTTCCATGATATAGAAATGAGGAAGTTTTTTGTGTTACAGGTTTTGCATACAATCAGACCCAAACACCAATTTGTGGCCTTGTCTATCATGCTGCTTTCTACTTGCTTCTGTATTAAAAACCAATATTTTTGTGCTTTTGTAGAACCTGCTGCCTGTTTTCCCTGAACGAGAAGGGTGGTGTCAAGGGGAGGCCAGAATTTGTCTCTGGGGACTTGGATGCTGTTTCTGCTTGAGGACCTCTCTGCCAGGGGACAAGTATTTTACTCAGCCTTGTACCTCAGTCACTGCCTGTGAGATGAAGGTATTGCTTTTCAGTTTCACATATGTTCTGTGGATAAAAGGCATTTGTACGGGTTAAAGTTTCGTAATAAATATTAGCAGGATTTCACTTCTCTTGCCTGCTTCAGCATGTTAAAATCTTAGAAATATGCATTAATTCTTTCAGAGGAAAGATAGTACTGGAAGTCTCTGAGTTATGATTGTTGTGAAACTTGCTCATGATAACTGAAAGTGCCTCATGAGGGCTATTTAGCAGAGCTGGGAAACTTCTGAAGTTTGAAAAACTCGTTCCCATGTGCGACAGTTCAGCTCTTCCTCAGACAGCAGGGCTTTTTGCAACAGTGACACTAAACATCACCTTCCTCCTCCTCCCCTGCAGACGCTGCCGGTGCCTTCAGCCTTACGATGTGAAAAGCAATGCTGGCCACTGAGGCAATCTCATTTTATCAATAAAAGTAGGGTGAGAGGCCATGTTAGGATATAACAAACCTGACCTTTTCTGTTCATGGGTACCAGGCTGCTCAAGCTAGCCACAGATATTTTAGCTGGTATTTTGTCTAGGCCAAGCTGTTCTTGAGAAGTAAAGCTTGTTTATGAAACCTCCACTAAAAGCAGGTGTTGCAGACATCCCATTAGTAACCTTTGACTTACCTTCCCCTTTGAAACTTTTCATCCCAAAGGACCGACATTTCAAAGCTTTTTTTTTTTTTTTTTTTTTTTGTCCCTCCAAGTTTGCATATTGTAAACATTTTTCTTCTCTGGTCTGATGGAACACAGCCAAAAATCTGCACAATGGGGGAACTAGATGTTAATGAGCAGAGATTGTGGGAAAATGTGTACGGGGCTGCCCTGCCTGACCTGCATGATAATGCTACATTTAGCACATTCTTTTCCATTGGTGTAGCAGGCCTTGAAATGGTAGCAAACAACACATATTGTGAAGGTTTGTTTTAAAGAAAACTGCTTTCCTAGGAGAGTGGAAATAACAAATTATTTATTGTATACAGTTGGCAGACTGACAGCTGGCCCTGGAAATATTTATGTACAAACAGTGGTGTGAAATTATATTTTTCAAGTTTTCAGTAAAATTGCTATACATGAAAGTTTAAATGATGATAATATTACGTACAGACTCATATTTAATTGAGGAAGTTTATAATGTCTATAGTATTAGGGACTGATGAAGGAAAAAAAATCGCTATTGGGTCTGTTAGGACAAAACATTCTAGCACTTTGGCATCTTCTACATAGATTTTTTACTCTGGCTGTGCTCATAGCCCCTATTTAATATGTTTATGTCAGTGGAGTTTTGTTTGTACAAAATGCTCCTGAAAAATTAATTTTGGCTCCTCTGAGCCAAGTTTCATTTAATCATAAAACAAAATTTATGTCTCGGCCATATGAAAATCATTAAGGGCAAAAGGATTCTGAGAACATAAACAACACCATGTGACTTAGACACCCAATTGCACAGCTTGAACCTATCAAGCAGTGAACATATTAAAATACTAAAGAGAACACTTACAGTCAGCATTTGGAGTGCAATGAGTGGGGAGAAATTTGTTTGCACAAAACTTCTGACTAACAAAGAGGAGTACTGAAGGAATTCATAACAAAAGACTGACTGTAGATAATTTCTGAGTAGAGAAAGGGATTAAATCCATTAAACAAGCTATTTCTTGCAAACTTTTTACCCAGCTATTTTTTTAATTATACTTTTATAAGCCCAACTCTTCTCTTTCAGTTAAGGAAACAGTAATTCATGTAGTAAAAACTGCATACAAATGTGAACTGTTTACAAATGACATTCCAAATCCCCATCGGGAAATGCTTATTTCTTCATAGTCAAAGATTCCTAAAGAGCTTTTATATGGGGAAAGAGACTTCCCTCATTACCTTAAAAACAACACTCTTATCTCCACAGTGGAGTGGATATGGGCTCTGAGCCATATTTTGCAAAGGACAAAGCAAATTCTTTAGTGGAACATCTGCTAGATAAGAACAGCATTCCTTAGAATAGGTTTTCTGATGAAAGAGATGTCAAAGCCTTGATTCCAAAAGTACTTATATCCTAAAACAACTGCTGTCTGTGCTAGTTCTGTTAGGTGCTTTCAGGAACAATTTCAAACCCCAGGTAACAACAAAAGGACAAAGATGGTTAATCCTATACTTTAAGGCTACTCAAGTCTGCTTACATTATTCATATTAAAAGAAAATAATAAAAGCATTGATTCGATTTTCAGGGATCTTTATATATCTGTGAGATATGTGATCAGCTGACAGACCCTCTGCCAATTATCAGATGGATTTATTTTCTCCACAAATTGCATCTTTGCCATGAGCAGCCTGTGACTTTAGCCCCTGTGCTCTTAGAGTTTCTCAGCTCTGAAGTCTGACAACTATTCTGAATGTCCTGAAGTCTATGCAATAGGTATGTATATAAATATATATTCACACTGTCATAACACCAGGAGATCCACCTGGATTTCAGGAGAGTACTTGGATGGCCTTACTGTTTGTTCTGGGGAAATCTTAAAAATCTTAACCATCCTGGTGGATATCTCTTACTAAGCTGGGTACTTTTAGTTCCTATATTTTTGGTCTCCTCCTTTCACATCTGTTGCTTAAGTTCCAGGTTTCTGACATCCCTTACTGCTTGGTATAGTGACTACACAACATCTCTGAATTGTCAAATATTTCTGGATAATGATTTATCTTTGAGACACTTTCATGGCAAGCACCAGCTTGTTTACCTAGTCTAGGGAAGCACCATGCTCTTTCTTAGTTAAACTTTGGCTTGTCTGCCGTTTTCTTGGAGCAGTACTTTTGTCATGCACCTTCTGTTTGTTTGTCTTCCTCTTCATTACACTCAAGGGAGGTTGTGGTCTGTGCTTTGGGAACTGCCCAAATGACAGATTAGTCAGGGAGTTGCACTGTAGCTGGAAACAAACAAAACAAAACAAAAATAGTCATTTTTGTCAACCTCCCTTGGTACCTGTTGGGTCCTGACTACAGTATGGCTTGATTTTAATTTATCAGCTGAAATTCTGCAACATTTAGACCATCATATCACTGCTTATATATATGATGATTATGTCCCCAGAATTGATAAGAGCACCCAGACCACCTCCTGTTGGATAGTGGATTTAAATTCTTGCAGTTTTCTCCAGTTTGGTTTTCAAAGCCCTTAAGAAAGTATTTTTATCTTTGGTCTTTATTCATAAAATAGTTTCTTTAGCTTCTCTGTCTGAAATTTTCATATACTGTAAGTAAATGTTATAAAAGATTGCATCAAGCTCAGATAATGCACACTGGAATTCTTCCAGTTAATGCTTTTGAGCAGTTACCATCAGCTGGACTAAGTGTTTCAGGAGGATTAGATCAGCTCTCAGTCTTTCCTGGACTAGCTCTGTTGGGAAATAGAAAGTATTCATCTTACCCTGATTTCCCATAAGCCTTTGAGTACTCACAGTGCTCAAAACTGGAAGAGTTAAAGTTTTCAGCAACAGCATGCTGCCCACATTCATGCATCTCTGAAGAGATTAAATGGAGAGTTATGTTATGTTAGATGAATTTCAAGCCGTTCTTTCTAAAACTTTCAAGGCTCTGTTAGTGAGTGTGAAGCTTATTCAGAAAAACATTGCTATTAAGAAAAGCTTTTGAGCACAAGATAAAACATGATTCTGGATAAGAATTGACAAGCCTGTGTTTAGATGTTTCTTAAATTAGGTCTTCACAGAGTTGATCTCACATCATCTTTTTATTTCTTACTCTGCTGTTAATAGGTATCATCTTAATGACATTTGCAATAAATCCTTGTCAAATATTTGTGCAATCCATTACTGGTATCTTGCCACCTTGAGATTTTTAATACAGTCCCCCAAACTTCTCTGAAAAATAGTACCAGTGCTTCCATTTTACAAATGACTAGAGAGATTGAATAACTTTTTACAAATTACAAAGATATTGAATAACTTTCTCACTCTCACAAAAGAAAAATAGGATTTATGGAGTCCAGTCATCTTTACTTTCCTTATTACATTCTCCTTCCTGAAAATGAAGAAAATAATTTCTTTTCAGACAATGATGTTTCACAGAGTGATTGCAGCTCTGTTCTCATGTTAAGAGATTTGAGATTTTCAAACTTCAGATGCTGCCAAAAGACTCTTCTCTTTCAAGACTTTTAGCTATGGGTAACCCTCTGTTAAAATCCTTGTCCAGCTGTGCTTTATAAATATCTCTTAACTGGAAAATGAATTATTTCCTTCAGTTAGACTATTGTTGTATAGTTAAGATACATTTATATGCAGTGTTACTAAGTGCACAGTTCTGCAGTAGTCTAACTAGTTTGCCAAATCAGTTGTCTTGTGTTTTTATATTTCATAGTGATGCCCTGTACGTTTTTAACTTTCTGGCATGATTTTGACCCAATTTGGTGAAATGTTGCCAATCATTGTTGCAAGATATAGGAAACAATACTAGAAAATAAGATCTTGCCATTTTTAATCTAACAGAACAGCTCTGTTGCTGATCTTGTCTAGCTGTCTAACAGATGGGTTAGTGTCCCATGAGAAGACAGCCACTTCCTTGCATAATAAACAAAGGAGGAGAAGTTGTCTGCAAACCATTAGTGTATTGTAAAGTTAGATGCAACGTCTTGATATTGTCAGAATGGGTTCCTCAAGCGCATTTCTTTGACATTCTGTCATAAGTCAGATACAAGACAGCATTAAATCAAAATTAAAACTTTAAAAGGCTGTCAAGTGTTTAACTGTTTCCAACAAAAGAACACCGTTAAAATTTTCCTCTGTTTTCTAAATATTGGCAATCAACTAATTGACAAAAAAAGGATTGAGTATGAGTATCTTGTATTAGAGGGAGACAAGATTATTGTCTCCTGTATCACATTCCCAACAATGTGGGAGAGGTTCTTGTTTCCTTTTTCCCTTTCACAAATAAGGACTCTAGTTCTAATGCTGTTTTTGTTTGAAGTACAGACTGGTTATTGTATAGTGGAGGCTTATGAAATTCTTGGCTGGTCATGACATTAGAATTGTCTTTTTTAATGGGATGCCTAAAGAAAACTATAATAAGACCCACAGAAATAGCAGTGTTTTTTCTTAAGAAGGGTATTTTCCCTTCTTAAGACAACACATTTTTAATATATTTATATTATCTATAATAACATACATAATATAATTAAATGTGTAGTGTGTGTGTGCACATATATATGTATCTGCATCTATGGCTCTTCACTTTTGACAAGAATTTCTAGTGAAGTAGAAATAACTGATGTGTTGTCGTTTGCAGAGGAATGAAGCCTTTTGTGGTGAAACAAGTTTTACACCTTTTTAAAAAAGCAGGAAATATGGTGTTCCAATATTCAACTACAAATTATTCTTTCTCTCTGGTTCTGCCAGGAAAAAAAAAAAAATTTTTTTTTTTTGCATCTCAAACTTTTTAACCAGTTACTTATGGCAGTATTGGCACAATATCTTGAGTTAAAAATAAATAAATAAATAAATAAGGGAAATAAATTACATATTCCAGATGTAAAATCCTATTTAAGCTAATTTCCAATTTGGACAGATTGGAATGAAGATCCCCTTTTTATCCATCTTAAAACTAAGAAAGGTTTAAGTCTCAACTAAAGCCTTTCCTGAACATTGCTAAAAATGTTCAAGGAGTTATTGTAAACCAAAATTTATTGTAAACCAACTACAAAGAAAATCACAAACAACACTGCAGACAGTTTCTGTTTCACTTTTTTCCAAGTTTTCCTACTTGTATTTCTGAATCTAGTATACGGTATCAACTGAGAAAACTTCAGGAGAAAATATTCTGAAAGTGTGAGCCTCACTTCAGATTTTTTTCTATTTTGTGCTTTACACTGACTGAAATGGGTCCAATTTGCCAAAAAAGGGGGGGAAACAAAAAGAAAGATAGAAAGCTCAGTCGTGTGTGAATTTTTACATTCAGAATATGTGAATGAATATGCACTATATCACATACCTCTTAAAGTGTTTTGGCTTTTTAGATTGATAATTATGTGTAGATGGTACTATTTCCACCTGGCTTCTTCTTTGGTAGTTCACTGAAAAAAATGTAAAATTTTCTTCACTGTCTAGATGATTTTAAAATGTAAACATTTTCTAGAAGTATAAATCCTGAAATGCAACTTTATTTGTTCACTGCTTGTAACCAAACTTCATTTTGTGTTCCTATTTCTTTCAAAGATGTAAACAGCAAGTTACCAGACTATCATGAGCCAAAAACAGTGTTTATGTCATTTGTTAACTAGTGAATTCAGATCATCCAGATGTACTGTAGGAAACCTCAGTTTAACCTGGGGTTATATGATAATTATCAGAAAGCTTACTTAAAAATATCCGCCAAATAATCTCATATTTATATTGATTGTTCTCTCTGTCTTTACTTGTCCTTCTTAGGAAAGGAAATGAATCCCACTTTTCCACAAAGGCTATGTAAATTGTAAAAGTAATAGTGTCACACATATAACAAACAATATCTTAGGTAACAAGTGTCTTATTTTGTTGCTCATTCTTTATTATACAAAATCTCTGTATTTACGAAGGAGCTCAGGACAGCTCAGAGGAATATATAAAACAGAGCAGGGTGCTTGAGGCAGGGGTTTTGATGCTCTGAAGCAGCTTTCCAGTGTATTTAAAACAGTATAAAGAATAGTAACTTTTCCTTAATCCTCTCTCTGAATAAAACAGTGACATTTCAAAGGCTGCGACAGTTTTGAAAACATAATTTAAGCTAAGCCCCTTTAACTTTGCATCATACTAATTCTGTGGCTTCATACATAACCAATGGTCAAAGTGAATAACTGGATCAAGATTTGTCCATCAAGTTTAGCAGGACCCCTGTTTCATACTCTGAACCAAACCAACCCTGAGCATTCTTTTCTCTCATTCATTTCCACTAGGCACTTTTCTGAGAAGCATAGGCAGCACAATGCAGCAACTTTTTTGAGCAGGGCTTTTTTGGGTCCTGGAAAAAATTGTAACAGAACAGATTTATTTAAGGTGCTCTGTTCGTAATGAGGGTCATTCCACCGCATTTTGTATCTGTTATTGTCTTCAGTAAGTTTGTAAGACTGGTAGGGAAAACTGGAGCTGGAATTCAATTTCTTCCAGTGAGGCCATGAAACAACCATTTAGTAAGATGAATACTTTTGCAACAATATAATTGCAACATTTTTCACATATTGGTGTAAATAATTATTCCTACTATCAGAATATCTTACAGCGCTCTCACCCCCTCCCCCCCCAATAATGTTCAAAGATACAGTTTGAGTCAGCCTTATGAGTTGCTAAATTACATTGCTTAATTGTTCTGCACATTGGTTTCAATACTAAACTTTCTCCTTTTGCCCTTTATGACTTCTAATCTCACATGTCAGAGGAAAATGATGACCTCCATCACGAAATCAAAAGAAGCACTGGTGTTACTCGTAATGTGATTAAAGTGTGAGATTAAGAGATCTGGCTAAAACAATGGAGGAGGAAAGCAAGGAAGGGAAATTAAATCAGAATAAGTGAAGGAAACAGTTTTGCACAAATCTTTACAGTGTAGCCAAAGTCTAAGAGCTATTTGCATTCAGTGTATATCAGCTGGGGGTCTGGCACAGGATATTCTGAACCAATGTGTATTAGGGGTTATATCTGAGATCTCTGTTTCTGGACTTCTGCTGCATCTGTTCTGGTATTCTGGGTAGTGACTGTGACACTTGGTACTGTAGCTGCTGATCTCAGACCACAGCCCTGAGTGTGGTTTTAGAATCTGCTTATCAGAGAACTCTGACAAAAACAAGAACTATGGCTCACTGACCCCACTCCTTCACTGCAGCAGACGACAGCATCACTCTAATCCTGTTTATAAATCTAATACTCTTCATCTTAAACCTTAAAAAGCTTCTTGCCTGGACAGTCCTACTAGAAAGCTGTGCTGGAAGCACACTGCCACAGCAGTTGGGAATTTTCTCCTAGTTTCCAGTCACACCGATGGCTGTGCCAAGCTCTTTGCTCTCTGCTTTATCCTAGCACAGATAAAATAATTGAGCACATTGAAGTCCCTCTTGGCCTACATTTTGCTGAGCTAATAAGCCAAGTTTCCCTACTTGTCTCTCGTTAGACAAACTATCCATTGCTCTTATCATTTGAATAGTACTTCTTTGTACATTTTCCAGTCTGAGTTTACCTTTATTAAATGTCAGTGATGACAATTTATATGCACAGCCTCAGGTGAATTAGTACCAGGGCATGGTGCAATAGTTTTAATAATTCCCTTTTCTACCTTGCCTGAAGCCTCCTGAGGTTACATTTGCCTTTTTAAGTGCTGTCTGTGATCAAATAAAAAACTGTGCTCATTTTCCTCCTTTGTTGCGTAAATCATGGTCTCAGGTCATAAGAGAAACTCTGTTTTTCCCTTGTTGATATAACAATGCAACCTACGTGGCTGAATTCTGTTAAAATGGTTCCTGTGCAATACTCTTACCTTCCTCACCATGGGCAGGGTTCCCCAAATCCGTGTGATCATTGAACTTCATTAGATCACTTCAGTTGCTTGTTACTGAGGTCATTAATACAAGTATTAAATACATCTTGTTCCAAGCTAATAGCCTTTTAGGTGATCATCTAATAACCTTCCAAACATTTAGTTGTGTCTCTGGTATGATGAATCAGCATTGAGTTTTTTATAACTGTTGAAATGCTGCTATATTCACCCTTTTCATAATAAACTAATTTCTTCCTTTGGAACCTTCAGGTAGACCAAGACATATTTTTATCAAAGTATGTGACAAGAGTTAGTGTGTCATCTATGTTTGGCACACCTCAAGTGTGTTTTATTCTGTTTTCCTTTCAGTAGTCTTTATCTTAACCTTACTTCTTTTTCTTTTTTTTTTTTTTCTCAGATGTTATTGAATAACAGCCATGATGGGTTCTGCAGTTGCTCGGATTACTCTTGTCCCACTCTAAAGTACAGGAACTAGGTTTGTTATTCTCTAATCATGTAGTACGAGACAGTCGGCATTTTTGTATGGGGACTGTTTAGTGTTTCTTGACTTAAGTGCATTTAACTCTGGGCCTTTTTTTTCCTTCCTCTACTAACATTTGTATTAATTACCTTTTTCTGTGCTATTGTTAGACATCATTAGAAAATGAGTTGCTCTCAACAGCAACAACAGATCTTTCTGAGTAATTTCCCACATATCATAATTAAAATGTGTTTCATTAGGTTCTTAAGTGCTTTGTTAACTCCAGACAAAGGGGGGATTTTCATAGTCACAGGTAGGATTCAGATAGAAAATCTCTCTCTTTCCACTGCCTTTCACCTTTAGAAAGTCTTTTCATGAAAGTGTATATCATTTCTGACCTATTGTTTCTCAGGAGGCGGAGAGTAATACAAGGAGCCCATACCTCTGACTTTTTTCACACCTGCCAGCTCTTTAACACCTCTGGCCTTTTTCTTCAGGGCTTCAGTAATTAGGGTTGTGTGAAGTTTCACACGTAAAATGCAACTGGATGATTCCAGCATCTAATCAGGTCAAAGGCTAAATTCCTCTGCTGTGCAACATGTTACTTTTGGCTGAATCATAACCCTCTAAACTGGAATTGTTAGATGCTTAACTTTAAAATATTAATGTGTTAATTTATTTTTTTTCATTAGATAGAAAATCACCACATCACACAGCTGCCAATTTGATATCACCGCTGACATCTTTTTTCCACACCTTGCAACCTGAATTGCAGGACATGTTTCTCTGCTGTGTTGCAATACCTCTTTGCTGTTCTAATTGCAGGAGGACATGTGAATGACACAACTCATCCCACAGCCTTGATTCATCAGGCTGATCCACTGCTACAATAAAGCAGTGTATCTGCCTATTTGTGTGCTCTGAGTGTTGGGCTCCCAAGGTGGCAATCTCACTCAGGGATTAGATGTCTATTCTGTGTGGTAATCACCAGTTTAAGCCAGAACGTGTATTCTGGCATGGCTGGTATAAATTGTATAAACTAGTTATGATACTGTTGCCTCTCCCAAGAGAATTACAAACTCTGATTGTACACATTAGGGTTCTTAGAAGAATAAGAAGGCAAGAAAGCTTTGCAGATAAGTAGGCACATGGCTCCAAATTTTAAACAACCTCCATGTAAAATTTCACTCAGTGCCAAGTGCCTGAAGAGCTAGATGCCAGTTTGTTGCATGCTTTCTGAAGTTGTACTGCTGATGCTATTTTGTTTGTGATGTATTTAAAGTCCTGAAACCTTTCCTTAAGATTTATGTGTCCTTCCAAAGGGCACCCAGTGAACAGGCTAAATGCTTGGCATGCTTTCATCCTGGCTGCACAGTCTGGCAAAGACTATGGATAACTGGAGCCACAGTTGGAAAAGGCAGCTCTCTCCCTTTTCCCAGATGAGATTCTTAACACTAGGCTTTATTTTGGCAGTCGATCACTTCTATCAAGATGCAGTTGCCTTTGGCCAAGCCTCTGGGATCTCTGCTAAGCTTTTCTCAGCCACAAATCATTTCTTCATTCAGCATGTCACTTGACATCTTTGGTGTTATAAATTAGTTCAAGAGGGTGGACACTCATTTCACCTCCTCACCAAGGGCTCAGTTCTCATGTTTTCTGAAGTTATTTATTTTTGCTTTAGGGGACAATGCAGTTTTACTCTCCTACTGCACTATCAAGAGAACAAGTCCCTTTGAGCTAAACACCTGCTTTCTTTTAGAAAGAATGATGGGAAAATGCCTTCTTAAAAGCCTCTATTTATCTACTTTCTTAATTTACAAAAAGTCCCTGATTACTCAGATTCCCAGAGATTTAGTAAAATGTTATAGCAGACCAAAGTTAAAAAGAAAACAGAAAATAAAGTACTGCCATTCTCCTGGGCAACAGAGACAAAACCATGGCAATGTGCCCTCAAGGCTATCAGACCATTATAGTCTCCTTGCGTCAAAATCCAGTAGCAAGTGGTCTCCACTAAGAAAACAATAGGTCACTTAGGGCCTATGAGCTCCAACCTTGGGGTTCTCTGCTGGCCAACATCTGCAAGTTGGAAGCCAGCTGAAACACACCAAGTGTTACTTCACTTTCCAGGCTCCTTATCCAGAAACTTCCCCTCAGGTTGGAAATAGAGATGGCCATGTTTGTTAGGAACTGCTCAGGATGTTCATGGAGGTTTTGGCCTGTCATGATTTCACACTTGTTCACAATTTTCTCTTTTCTGAAAGATTTAGAGAAAGCTGTCACAAATTTCAATTTTCATAAGGGCTTAAAAATGTTCAGCATCTAAATCTTGTTAAAGTCCTATTTCTCTTACTATATTTGAAAATCCTATCCTCAATTCTTTTTCCATAGCTTCCACGGTGGCAATTTTCAGACATGATCTGACTGCTGCATAGTGTTGCCATGAACTCTAGGTATACCAGGTCCTCATCCTTCTTCCATGAGCAGTGTCTTGTAGTGCCACAGGGGAGAGCTGATACTGTGGCACATCTGAGCCCTTACAGCACCAGAAATTTTAAGTAACAAATGTTGCTTAAACATGTAACCCCATGTTCTGTGGGCTGGTAGATAAGGAGTACAAACACTCCAAACACACATTATAGACTTGACTTGAATTTATTGTGACCTTTAGTTACACTTTTACTGTATCAGTGACTATGTCAGTGGCAGACTAACGCTACATTGTACTTCGCAAACACAGTGAGGAAAAGTTAAGTTCCTGCTACTGAATCGTTTAGTCTTGGGTGATCACGCTTATAGCTTACTTATAATCTTGATTTAAAACGTGCAGAGTGATATAGTCTACTTTGTTTCTGGCATAACTTTCTAAGATCATCATAGAACAGTGATATGGCTATAACAGTGACTCCTATACCCATAGATGATCCTAAGGGGTGGCCTGTGGTGGCTGAGATACAGAACACCCTTCCACTGCTACCTTCATGCAGCTTCTAACATCCTCCTAAAACAAGTCCTCTCTGAGGCCAAGTTATTCATCTTCCTGCTTTTCACTGTGGGCTGCAGTACATTCAGCTGTCATCTGGAATAATTAAGTCAGCATCACCTTTTTCCCTCCAACTCAGCCCGAATTTGGGAAAATACCTAGAAGTTACAAAAATCAGAATATCTATTAAGAAATTACCTTAGCTGATGTGGGTTTTTTTATCTTGTTCTGTTTGTCTGGTTGGTTGTGTTTTTTTTTTTGTTTGTTTGTTTGTTTCTTTTTTTGTTTGTTTGTTTGTTTGTGTTTTGTTTTGTTTTGTTTTGTTTTGGGGGGGGGAGAGGTTGTTGGTGTTTGTTTTTTTCTTTGGTTTAGTTTAGTTTTCCTCCATGGTAATGTGCAAATTCTGATTAGGTTTTCCTGGTCCCAGAATATGAAAGATTCAGGTGCAGGCCTCAAGTCCAGGGTGATTTGGATCCAGGATTGAGCCTTGGCTTTTCCCTTCACAGGTAAATATTCTAAACTAGAGAGTAGTGATGGTTCTGTGGGGAAATGTTCACATTACTCGCTGTTGAATATGATGTACTTTGAAAACTAATAACTATTTATTGCATGAGCAGAAGAGAGAGATTGGCTCTGTAGAGCTGCTTCAGAGTTTAGTGATGAGAACAGAGCAGTGTTTTCAGAGAGTTGGTTTCATGCCACTCCCTTCCAAGATGGACAGGGACCCCTGCCTTTCAGTGCCCTTTGTGCTCAGTTTCTTCACTTTCAACAGTGTGGCTGCAACAGAGATTGACAGCAAAAAATCATGATCTGAAATCCTTAATAGATGAAGTAAAGAGCCCAAAAGTATATTATAAACTACAGCACATTGGCACTGGAATGACAGAGTCTAGAAAGAACTAAATATTCATGACATATTCATTGTGTATTTTCTGGCAGAGCAGAAATATATTTTCAACTCAGTCTCAGACATCACACTTTAGTAACATGAGAGTATTACTGTACAAAGTAAATGTAATGTATATAACATATTTTTTAACTGTGTACTTTTTCATGTGTGGTTGAGAATACTGTTACTTAGAAATATTTTCCAAAATAACAACTTTATCATCTTATGCAATTCAAAATGCTAAATAGTTCAACACACAATTGCACACCTAGATGGAAAAACAACTGTATAAGCAAAATACCAGATTTATTAATGAAATGTATGTAATTTTACAGGCACAGCAGATTTCTTACAATCACATTGTTTTTCACAGGTAACTAAACAATTTTTTTCTCATTTGCATTCCCACTGTTGTATTGAAACAGTTTCTTACAGTTAGTATAGCCCTTTTGTACAAACAAACTAGATTTTACGAGGGAATTCAAAATTAGTTGTATCTGGTGGACCTAGTTCAGCTGAGGAAATACAATATATAAAGGAATAAGAGCAAGTTGACTGCACTGAAAAAAAACTTTCTTGACAATAATCACAAAAACTTGCTTGACATTAATTATATGGACTCATAATTGTATGCTGGGAATGGTAAGAAATCTAAAAGTCTGATGGAATATGAAAATATGTACATGTAATAAAACTTTTATTATCATTTTGCTTCTTAGCTCCTTTAAAATTTTAATTGGAGTTTGACTAAAAGTTTGTAGTGACTGAGTCCAGAGGCTTCATCTAAGAAGTATTCGGGGAATCCTTTGTCTATGATTCTGTTAGCAGAGGGAAGCCTGTACACTGGGTAAACTCTTAAGTTTAAAATCTATTTTTGTTCAGGTAACATTTTAATTTGCTATCCTCCCACTGAATTTGGTAAAGACTTGCCTCAGAGTGGCCCAGCACAGATTAATTTTCCAAAATTACTACATTCAGAAAAACAGCAATTCTCAAGAGCAAACACATAATCTCATACATGAAACACACCTTGGGTTTTATTCATTTCTCACTGACACAAGGTATAATTTAGTTGTCTAAAATGGAGTCATTCATGATTTACGTCAGAAACAGGCCCACAAAGGCTATTTTTAACACAACCAAATGACATTTAATTTTTTCACATTTGCTCCACAGTGTTGTTGTATGCATCCTCGGTGGCATTATTAAGTGGAGCTTTTCAAACAGACGAAGTATGTTACTTACTGTGGCTAAATTGTAATGAAAGAAGAGATGGCTGTTTGCCAATGAATGGTGTGTAGCTTGTAGAAGCATGTAATTACATAAATCACAAACATATGCAGAAGATGTTTTCTCTTTACATTTAACTGGTGTTGCCTGGAGCTATAGCTGCTTGCAACTCTATTTAATTACCATAATTATTTTAAATGTGTATATCTGGGCAATCTTTGAGCTTTATGAGAATGTTATTCATACCTTATCAGTAAAAATCTAAAGGGTCCTATTCTTTCCCCAAAGGGGCTGCAGTAACCAGGTTTCTCCAGATTTCAGGCATAGGGCGGTTGCAATGTTTATATCTTTATTTTGAATTACAGGTTTTTAAAAAACCCAAGCCTCTGAAACTAATCAGATTTTGAAATCTCAGTAGACGCTATAATTTCCTGGAAGGAAATTAAGCATTGTACATTGTTTGTGGAAAGAAAGTACCTGAAGAGGTCTTGATTTGCTTCTTTTACATCTTAATTTGCTGACTGTGTAAGTGTTGTTTGGCCAAACAGATCGACAAGTGTCTAGGAAAGGTATTGACTGTGTTAAAATGGATACTTCCTATGGGAAATGTCAAAAGAATCTGACAGACAAGCTGGGATTTCCCAGTTAATTGTGTCAAGCAGTCAAATGAGTTAAAGTGGAGCTTTTTTTAAATTCTCTTCTGCACTAGCGTAAACCAGATTCAAATACTGAAACTAATGGAGTTGCCCTAGAAATACTGCAGGATAACACGTGCTTTTGGTTCTTCTCTCATTTATATGAGTTTTATATTGACTTCATGCCATTGATACTGGCCAAGTTACATGTGGCTCAGACCAATATAAATGAGGAAAGACATTAGTCCTGACATAATGGATGACTGGCCAATGTAGACATGCCTCAGTTTGCCCTAACTAATATAAACTGGTGGGTATCAAATTCCTCAGTGAATACAGTGGAAATGGTAAGACCCTTGTGAATAAGAAATCTGATAGCTAAATAACCAAAAGACCAAGCAGTAGGAACCATAAGCAACTGTCATATGTAACTGATGGAGAATACTTAAATGAGTACAGATACAGAATCTTTATTCACTGAAAGACCAAGAAAGGCAGGTTTTATGTGAAGAAAGTCTAATTTATTAGTTTAACTCTGCTTATATTAAAACAAAAACAAATGAACAACAAAAAAATGCAATATGCATGTTGTTTTGGACAAGTGAGTCCTTCATATGTTACAAAAAACAGCTGGTCAAACACCTGAGTGCAAAGTTAGTAAAGTTCCAAAGGTCTCCCATTCCAGCAAACTACAAACCAGTGATTGGCATCTGAAGAATTCTAGCTCTAGAAATAGGGTAAATATGAATAAATACCCAATGGAGAATCAGACTATACAAATACAACACTTCAACATTATTCGGTGTCAGGGAAATAGGATGATGGTTTGCATCTTGTCTTTTTCATTGTCTGCTACTATTAACCTTGCAAGCAATGCCTCCTTAAAGATCATAAGTCATGAAGTCATTTTTTTTTGGTTATAATGTGACATGCCAGCTGTAGATTGTATGTGCAGTTCTGTGACATGGCTTAGCCTTTTCCTCCACCACCCAAGAAAGAACATACAGAAAGCATTATTTTCATAGATCAGTTACTACAATTTCTCCTAAAAAATTAAAAAAATGCAGGCCTATGGAATGTCAGGGAACAATGCACTTTCCACATCAGAGAATGCTGAGTAGTTTGTTTAATAACCACAAATTATTTCAGGTAATTTGGCACCAATTTAATTGCACCCACAAGAATGTACCTCAAGAAAAACAACAAAAAAGTAATAAAAGAACCACTCCTACTACCAGCCCCATCAGGATGAGCTGAAGGCAGAATATCCATTCATTACATTATGATTAGCTTTGCTAATACCTTGTCTATCAAATCCCCATACCATGCTGTAAATGTTTCCCTTTGGTGTGTCTATGTGAAGTCATGAAAAGGAAGCTGATGGAAAGTGATAATTTTCTCATGTATTAGAATGGCAGCAAAACCTTTCATATGAAGGTATACACTAAAACAGTCATTAAAAATGCTGTTTATGAACAGCTGGAATTAAAATCCAGCCAATACATTTTCACTCAATGTCTTTCATTAAAATGAAGAGCACAAGGACAAATACGGAATTTGCTAACTTTGAGGAACAATTAATCTGGATATTCCTCTGTTCTTTTTCATTTCACTTATTTCTAAATCATTGTGTGATTGAAAGACCAATGGTTGTGTCAACCTATAATCTCCATAGTATCGGCAGCTATATAGAGGGTGATATATGTCTTGTCAGTAGGTTACAAAGCTCTTTGCTGAATAGCACAAGAATTTGAGAATAGGAAATCCCCCCTAGTTTTGCCTCTGGGAAGAATATATCTTGGTAATTTCAAACAGTGAAGCCAAACACAGAGATTTGGGAGATTCATTTTAAAAGCTGATATTGCAGAACTGATGTGAAATTCTGTTCAGTTCAAGTGTTTTGGGTTCTCTCAAATGTTTATGGATAAACTTCTGTCTGGCCTCTCTGAAATGAATTTATCTGAAGTGTGCCAAAGGTAGTGTCATAGAAAGAACACAGTTCTTCGTTAAAAAAAAAAAAAAAAAAAAAAAAAGCCTTCACTTTTCTCCTCATGATAGCCATGTTCACTATGGCTTTTTTTCACATTGTGATTTCTGCATTGCATGAAACAGAGAAGAGCCTACAAACCTTTTTTTTTTTTTTTTTTAAATGTCCCTGACTGAATATAAGAAAAAAGAAATCAAACAAATCAAACAAATTGAATCAGCATGATTTTTTTCCATGAAATCTGGACAGAATTTTGTTCATAACCAATCAAGGATTCCTAAAAAAAAAAAAAAAAAAAATCTCAGTCCTGAGTCAAAATAGTTTAATTGTTCTCAGACTGCTGTCCATGTCTCCAGCTTTGTTTCAAATGGCTGTGGTTTTGTTTCATTTGTTTGTTTGTTTTTGTTTTGTTTTGTTTTGTTGATTTTTACTTGTTCCATAAGAGTCTACCTCAGTATGTATTTACTTTATCTGCAGGTGTGCCATAAGCAATTTGATCTTATTTTATCGAAACCCCTTTCTTTATCATTGTATCTTTTTAGTCAGTGACTAACTACAGGTTTTTTGTTTCTTTTTTTAACTAAAAAACCCTCTCAAATCTCTAAGTGATAATAATTTTACACAATGGGCTGAATTTCAATTGTGTTTCAGTGTATTGCTTTGTATTGTGACTGGTATTGTTGCATAATTGGTGGGAAAGAAAGGAGAAAAAATAGGCTGTATGTGTTGATAATAATTCACTGACATCTGTGAGATAAACATTATTGTATAGAGATGGTTACCTATCTTCATTAAACTTTGAAATCCATAAGGTTATTATAAATTTTGCAAAACATCTAATCATCTGTTAAGGATACATGGTAAATTCCCCATCTTAAAGTTATACCCATACAATGAAAGGCTGTAGTTCTTAAGACTTGAAGTGAAAGGTGCTGGATACGATTACAAATTAAACTGTAATGTAATCTGGGCTTTTCCAGTCAAGTTTTCCAGTGAAAGTTGAAGTTGGCTAACGATTTCTTTCCTGTGCACTGCCCTAAGGATCCATTCTGTTTCTCCAGGGCACCTTGGCAAGAGACTTGCAGATATTTTAAACCCCTAATTAATGCCAGGTATTTCACTTCACTTTTATTTTTAAAGTATGAAAAAAATAATTGCTAAGCCAAAGGAGAAAAAAAAATATTTTCCATTTGCCATTAATTACAGATGTCAGACAGCCACAAATATAGAAATGGTCAGCTGCAGGTGTAACTGAGTTTGTTGTGTAATGCACACTCTGTTCCTATAACACTACTAAAAATGGTCTGTCTGGCTAATAAATAGCACTACCACTACATAGTAAAAGGTGAAAATTAATGTGAATGCTGCTGGTGAGTTAGTTATATTAACAAGCCAATCATGTAGTATTAGCAGGTATAAGAGCAAAAAGCATAAAGTTTTAAGAGCTTCTGAAAAAAAAATTTAATTCATTTCAATGTTGTAAATTTAAATTCAGTGCTATCATCTAACTTTATTTCTTTACATTTAGGATGAAAAATACCTGGGATTTTTAAAATTAAAGCCACTATCTGCATCTCAAAAAAATAAAAATAACAAGCTTTGGGTACAACCCTGCATATATCACTGTTATCTCAGATACTTTGCTGGTAAAGCCCTGTTGTCTCTATCAAAGTTTCTGGCCTGGAAGCGATAGCCTTTGATAGCTAACTGATAGAGAACTGATAACCCCTTACTGATAGTTAAACTTTTCCCACACCCAGAGCAAGAAGAAAGTGCAATCTAAAATGGCAATGAATAGTGGAAGATAATAAACAAAAGACTAATTGATTTCTTCTACCTAGCCACAGAGCTATGTCTGACCAGCAGCCCATATGTCCTCTTAGTGATGCTGTATTTTACTTTGGAAAACTTTAAGACCAGAGCACATAACCTGTGTTCCCTCCCCAAGCTTCCTTCCAGATACTGTCAGCAGCTCAGAAAGTTTTTGAAATAAGCTCATCTTTATCATTATATTTAATAACCAGAAACGGAACTACCAACTCCAAAATATCTAATCCTTCTCTGAATCCACTATGGTTTCTACATCATCCAGTGTCAATGAGCACCACAATTTAATTGTGTGCTGTGTGAAACACAGCATGCTGTGAGTCACAGCATTTGCTAGGATGGTTCTTAGATCCCATTTGTATGTCCTCAAAGAGTTACTGTTGTGTGTAGTCCTAGAACAGCTTCCTCTCTATCCTGCACATCTGTGGAGAAACCACATGCAGTCTGCCCCAAGATGATAAGTAGGATGATGGGAATCTGCCTGATGAGTAACATATTTCGTGGGTTGTTAATATTTGAGTCAAATGTACTAATTCCCCCTCTCTGTCTTCCTCTCATTCTTTTAATTTTATTCTTGGCTGCAGAAAAATCACTAAAGAAAAATGTACCTTGAAAGACTGACTGTTATGCTTGGCAAAGCTTTGTTATGTTGCTGTGCTTCAACACCATATTTGATCTGAACTTGTTTTTAGGAGATAAATAGATTAAGAAAAAATTAATTGGAAATATTTCTATTTCATGTATTAGTTGGTAATACACATCAGAGGGTTAAAAAAAAAAAAAGACAAATGTCTATCAACCATAAAAGCACATCTGCTCCCAAAACTAGTTCTCTGAGTTCCTGTGGAAAACTTCACAATGATACGACATTCCTAACCTGCCTAAGTGAGAGCACATTGAAGAGCTGATAGTAATTTTATGCTGTCCTATATCTCAGAAATTATTTCAGTGAAAATTTCCTATTTCTCATAGTCAGGTGTGTATGATTTTGTTTTATAATCGCAGTCTGGCAGGTACTGAAATTATCTGCATGTTGCATGAAGGAGGGGAAGAGGGACGCAATTTGATTTATTATATATTTACAAACTAATGTTAAATTCTCATCTTGGTCAAGTTAATGTCTAAACTGGACTTCAGTAGGAGCTGAATAAATTCTGTAGTTGTTTTGTTACTGTTTGCACCTGTGACCAAATGTAACTCCTCTAAGAGTGAACATGCTGCTTGAAAATTTTCTTGTCACCAAACAGATCCCTTCTGCAGCTTTGAAGCACCTCAGCTTGATTAGGAGTACTGCTGCCCAAGACCAATCAATAGTTTCCAAACGTGGGACCAGAAGACACAGATGCAGGTTGGGAACCGGGACCCAGCAGGTTAGTTCATCTCCCCATCACCACCACCATGCACACATTCACATGGGGTTTGGTTCTTATGTGCTTAAAACAAGTGGAGGAGGGGGAGGCTTTTTTCATGCCAAGAAGGCACCACGGCACCCACTAAGAAAGGCAACATAATGCAGAGTAGAATTTGTCATCTCTATGTTTAATAGTTGTTTGGAGAAATGGCTGTGATTTTACAAGCCAGGTTCAGTAAACCAGACAAAACTACTCTTGGTGGTCTATGCTCTGAGTAGCATTTTAAAGCTATTAAATTTATTTATATTGAATATAATTGATTAATTAATATACAATTGATGAATATATTGAATTTTTATTTATTTATTTATTTATTTATATTGAATTTACCCTAGACAAACCCAGCTGAGATGCTGCAAGGTGGTGTTGGATGGGGTTGTGGGCAACCCTGTCTAGTAGAAGGTAGGGCAGGGGAGTTGGAGATAGATGATCCACAAGGTCCTTTCCGAACTAAACCATTTTATGATTCTATAGGTGTCATCCTGGAAAGAAAGGACAAGAAGATGGGATACCATAGTGTATCTGATACCACAAGGAAACAACCTCAAAAGTGCCCAAGAGTGGTAAGATCTTACAGGAACTGCATTATCTCCACTGCTGCCTGAGATGAACCAGTGCTCCTTCAACAAAGTAGATTGCAGTAAGATAGCTAATGACTTCTGCAGCATTAATGCTAACCTAAAGTAAAATATTTCATTATTACCCATTACTGCTCAAAATGCAAGTATCTGTGAGATGTGAACTGAATGACAGAGAGCCAAAATAGCTTGGTATTGCATAAGAGGGAGAAAGAAAGCATATCAAAGATGTAGTTTTGTTTCTATGTCTGCTTTGTATTCTGGAGTTAGTAGTAGCCACAGAAACAGTTTACTGTTATACTTAGGAAGGAAAATAGTTATAAATCATAGCTCAGTTCATAATGTCTACAAAGTGTACCTAAAAGTTATCACTGTCCTAAAAAAACTTCCACTCTAGATAACTGTATTCCACAAATGGTGCTTCCTATTTCAGTCTTCAGTTGTAACTGAAATGGCAGGAAACACCCCCAAGAAAACATCATTGTTATATCTCTATGAATTATAAGGTGTTTTTAGAATCCTTTAAGAAGTAAGTGTTAGCTGGCCCAAAAATACCAGGTGAAAAGAAACACAAGAAGAATCGTTAAGTTAGACAAGGTATCTTTTGCAAAAAGCTTTGCTAAACAATTATATGTATGAATGCTGAAGTAACATAGTATTTTTCATGTGTGCCATCTCTACATTCTTCATCTTTCTGTTAACTTTTGACTTGCTTCTTTTCCAGAAAAAGAACAGGACTTTGACCTACTCTGCCACAGAGAAAAAAGGAACAAGTTGAGAGTGAAATGCTATTTTCTAAAAGAGTGGAAGCAAAAAGTGAAAAGTGGGAAAGGGACAGGGTATTAAAACACTCGGGGGGAGGGGGAGAGAGAGTAAAAAGGAATGAATGAATGAGAAGATGAAAAGGGAGAGCATAGTGAAAGTTCTTATAGTCAGGTAAAATGAAGTAGCCTTAAAAAGGAGAATACGAAAGTGAGTCAGAAAGGTAGTAACAAAGATAAAGAGATGGAAAATAGTCATAGGCACAAGTGAAAGAGAAAATAAAAATATATAAATACAAAAACAGGAGATGGAAGGAGATCTAAAGACAGGAAACAGGAAAATGTGGGAAAGAAACAAGAGACAGTGATATTTAATTAACATATGTCGGTATGTTACTTCAGAGGGAAGTAAACACAGACCAGTCATGCCAGTTAGGGCTACAGGATTGGAAAAGAGAAGCAAAGTCTTACTTTCCTCTTTTTTTTCTTTTAAATAATGTTCAAGGCTTTCTAGCCTTTTCTTCTGTAAAGGATAAGCTTAGTGAGTGAGGACTAAGAAGAAATGTTTAAAACAAGTAAAGCGGATACTAGGTGCAGACTTTCTCAGCAGGGATTGCATCAAGCACAGCAGGGCACAGTATGGGTGCTGACATCTCCAAATCATTCTGCAGTTCTAACCTTCTTTCCTGGCGGTTGTAGAGTTTATCCTTATTATGGTATCTTTTACAGAACAAACAGCCAGCCAGGGTTGTCATGCATTACACTGCTTTTTATCGCTGCAGAAGGTTTTAAGCAATCCTAGTACTTGATATTCTGGTGTTGTGGGAAGACCCATCTCTGCAGTGATGAGGTGGGTCAGACTAAACCAGGCAACAGGCTGCCAGATGCAGGCAAGCAGTATAAAACAGATACTTTATCCTCTGTTTTTAAGCTCATATTTTCATGTCAGGGGTCACACAGTATTGGTGTGGTCACTGCTTCAAAATAATTTTGTAAGCAGTTTTAATGCATGACATTTTAAAACATGAATTGAAAGCTCTTCAGTGAATGTGGGTTGGTGAGCAGTACTTTGTGCTGAAGTGAAGTGTGTTACAACTAGGCTATTGCCCTGGAGTGATGAGGAGAGGCAGTGGGGCCTGCCAGCAGCAGTTTTTCCTGGTTTAGGAGGAGCAGACAGTCCTCCACAGAGCCACAGAGGTCACACCTGCAGCCTAAGGAAGGACCAAGACATCGACCTGTTTTTCTGAGTATTTGCCATCTTTGACTTCCAAGTGGCAGTGGCCAGGAAAAGGGTAGTTTTTATAGGTCTAAATTAAAAGATCCATTGAGTTTGAAAGTGTCTTCTAATTCTGTCCTTTTTTCTTAAAGAAGGCTTGGAAGACTGGGGATACTATGTGCCAATTCCAGGCTATGGCAGCAAGTGGAAGCATCAACACCAGTACCACAAAAGTCAGCCCTTATAACGGTAGGTGAAGTCTCCTGATCAGCAGAGGGGAAATCCGTAGGAGACTGAAACCTTTTTTTCCTTGGGCCAAGAGGAAGTCTCCATCCACAGCATCTGGAATATTTCTAATGTGCAACCCAAACATAATAAAGGTGTGAAGGCTAAAAATGGGAAACACCTACCACAACTCCAACAGCCAAAGCAAACAGAAAAGAGCTCAGAAGTTATGGCTTCCAATAGCTTGTTCCTCAGACCTTTTCATATTTTGCTGACGTCCTCACAGACACTGTGACCCATGTATGTACCAAACCCCAAATGTGTCTTAAAACTAACCTAGAAAAAATAACACAAAAGCCTTATGGATCAGAGGCAGCTCCTGGCCCTAGGCTCAGTATTACATTAACATGCTTTGCTTTTTTGTTGCTTTTTCTGTTTCTTTAATTTGGGAGGGGGAGTCAGTTTTTGTTTCAACCATTCATATTCTTTTGTCTGTCGTTTGCACATTACCGAACAAAAAGTCTGATCATCGGTTTTGTTTTGCTCTATAGTTCAATGAGAGAAGCTATAAAAATTAAATTAAATTTTCATTTTCTTGTTTCAATGCTAAAAGAGAAAACAACCAAAGAATTAATGTGGGCAATAATCTGATTTTTCCAGCAGCAGCATCATTCTCAGGGAGAGTATTAGACTTCTACTTGATTTAATATCTCCAATTTACTGTGATTCATTATTTTCAGAGACAATCCTGACAAGTAGATTGTGTCTTTACCGTTCTCTCAACATTTCTAACAATAATCTGTTTACTACATTTTCATCTAGAAAGGAAAAGTAAAAAGAAACAATAAGTTAAAACTCTCACATTGATCTCAAACAGCAGAAAAATGATGCTTGTAGATTTGTCCACTTGAATAAAAAATTGAACTGAGATCTACTAGGCAACCATCTACAATATATGTAAGATCTAGCCAGGTACTGGCTGTTGTGGAGAACTGAATGCATTTGGAGGAAAACGGTGGTTTATTACAGTGAGGCTGACAGTGCAGCAACAAATCACTGTCTCCTCTTTGTATCTGCAGACACATGCAGAGGCATACCTTGCTGCTCATGTGTATTATCAGAGCCACTGACTATGATGCAGCCAGTTTGTCTAAAAATGATTTCTCAGATATAATTCAGCTTTTGAATTTTCAGATACATCAGTTTTTCCATTCCTCATTTAATTCCAAGTTTAAACATTAGCGAGCACACAAACATGCTGAAAAGAAGTCAGCATGTTTACCTCTTGGTAAATTTCTTTCACTAACGACTATGGCACTCAGATTGCATTTGGACACAGGTTTGGAATCAGGAAGTTTCTTTCCAGTGGATTTCACTTGGCTAAACTAAAAGTAATCACAAATTCCTCTAACTTTGAACTCAATAACAAGCTGTAAAAAATCATACTTTGCTTTAAAACAACCTTGCTCTCAGCCACAAACTTTTTTCAGCATGTGCTCACATCTCCAACTTGCAAGCACTGAACTCAGTGGGGATGATCCAGAAAAATGTTCACGTAAACATTTGATTTCAGGTCCTGTTGAGGGCCAGTTCCTGAAAACAGAAAGCTAATCACACATTAGACTACTTTATTGGATCAAGACCAGGGCACCCACCTTCAGAGATGGATGTGTCCATACCATGCTGACAAGCATTCCCACCTGGCAATGGGGCAGACATCTCTTACAGGCTCCATCCCCTACTCAGCTATTTTAGGACAGGTTAGGGACCAGTAGTGGGTGGGGGTTATTATGTGAAAAGAAGGTCAGAAGTTTTCCTGCTTGCTTAAACCAGCAAAATCTGTTTTTAATCTGTGAAAGCACACCAAACGCTCTGCTTGGAGAAAAAGGTATGTTGTATTTTTTCTGACCACTGTTTTCCCTAGTGGCAAGTTTCTCCTTCAAAATGATATCCACTGCTTTGTTTATAGGACTGTACAGAAGGATTTGCATGGGTTAGTGAGGGGAGGGAATACTCACATTTGCAGAAACACAGGATCCATTAAAGCACATGAGGCTCTGGTGGTTCCCCTCCCCAGCTGCTACTAAGTTTATTTGCAGCCTGCAGCCTGAAAATGGGGCTGTGGCCCATCTGCACCCCGTATGTGGGAATTCCTTTCCACTACTGCTGCAGAAGCATGGATCCAGGAGACGCTCCTCTAACCTCCCCTCAAATTCCCCTCCGAGCTGACCTAATCGGAGCCAGAGCAGACGCCACCAAAGACCACAGCGTCCCAAGGAGGGGGCTGGGGGCCGCGCTGCACCGCTGATTCTCCCAGGTTCCCTGCAGTTTCCCTCCCTCTGCTGCGGGGTTAAGCGGCGTAGCAAACCTTGTGTGGGCCACTCTGCATGGGGCGGGTTTCACCCTTAGAGCAAAACCAAGTTTCATGCTGGATGGTGGGGCAGGAGTGGAAGATCAAAGAGGAAAATTCAGTTGGCTGCAACACATGTTCTGGATCTGAACCTTTCCCACTTGAGCTGCAAAGCTCACGCTCACTGCATAATGGTGCTGTCATTGAGGGGGTGTCATGTGTAAATATATCAGGAAGAAAAATCAAAGAGCAGTATTGAGACTTGTCTTTTATCCAGGAGGAAAAAGTTAGTTTCTTCATATATCTTGTGCCTGTCTGAAAGATGCTAGGAAGGGCTGTCCCAGAGTGGTGAGGGCAAGGACCTTCTATTTTAAAACCTCTGTTAAGGGGAAAAGGTCAGATACAGGAGGACAGGAAAAAGGAGAGATGAAAATTAGTGAAGGTAACTGCAAGCAAAACCATTTGTTAAGGGGTTGGTCTTGGGAATATAGGAGTTGAAATTTTGAGTGTTTTTTTTACTGTTACACACATATGAGAATAAGCATTTAAAAAGGCTTATGTGAATAACCAGGAGAACGCTTCAAAACAAATGATTGTGTAGTACAGGCAGAGCAAATGTCTGCAGGCAATTTAAATCTACCTGCACAAGTTTTTAGACACTTCAGCAGATATGTAAACGCTCGCTTTCATGTATACCTATCTGTGGCTCAGCTGAGTATTTGGCCCCTGAGGCCAACTCTGCCCAGAAGGCAGTCACTTTTAAAGCACGCTGTGACCTCTGGATCAAAAATAATAAAGTCACATGCTCAAGAATAGTAGACAGTGATGGGCTCACATTTTCACTTTAAGCCTTAGGTTTGTTTTGTTAATGTTAACTTCTTTAAGGTCCTTTAATCTTTTTTTTTTTTTTTTTTTTTTTTTCTGTAGGAGATTTTGTTCTTTTTCATATCTTTTTTTTTTTTCTCAACAAAATGTTCATTTTTGTCCAATGTATTTTTAATAGAATAGTTCATTTAGAAGGGTTCCACTTCAGGGCTAGACAAAATTTAAAGCTTATTATTAAGGGTATTATCCAGCTGCCTGTTGAACACTGACTTTTTTTTTTTTTTTTTTTTTTTGGAAAACTGATGGCATGTAAAAGCACATTAAATTTGGCAAAACTGTTTTTCTTTTCCAAAGTAAATGCATAGGTACTGAGGTCTAATTCATGGGTGTGGAAACTCCTGCCATGGCCCCACACTTCATATTTTATCCACACTATTTCTCCAGGAGATATTCTGAAGAGAGTTCCACATATGTCCTTTTAAAACTCCCAAATCTTGACTTTGGATGTGAAAAGTGCTGGGGTCAAACTCCTACAGAAAGGCTGGTGAACTTGCAGAGAGGAAAGGAGCTTTCAACACCTCCCAGAAGTGCTTGCTGGGAAGACACCTGAGTCTTCCTCTCCTACCTGCAGCTTGATCACATTCTTGCTGTCCCTATTTCTGTTGTGCCTCACCAGTTTTCTTGATCACCTTAAAGGAAAAATGCTTTTTTTTTGTTACGGACTTGGACTTGATATCATTACGTGACTTTATTTCTCAAGAATAGATGAAAAGGGAATGGTCAGCCTCAGAGTATGGGAGTTTTGCCTGTAAATAACATTCTGTAATATGTATCCTGTTTGCCATAATAAACCAAAGTCTAGTTCTCCATCTGGTTTTCTGAGGGAAAGTCATTATTCACTCTGGTATTAGCCACTACCTTATTTATTTCTTTTCTATGGTTGTTAGTATTGAATCAAACTTTGTTTCTAAAGTTTGGAGGGACAAAAGATGGTTTTAATATAGGTTGTAATTATGTATTTTACCTCAAGCCACTGGGGGAATACAAACATGTATTTGCTCAAGGGTCACCAGAGAAGTGCCTAAGAGGACCTAAAGATTTTAAATGGAATTTGATTCACATTCATGTTCAAGAATTTAGATGATCATCTTATCAGAACAAGTAAAGCCTTAAAATATTGAATTGAAAATCTTGTAGGAAAAAGCTTTCTTGTGGTATTAGCAAAAATTCTTCGTCAGGGCAAAAATTCTAGGTAAGCGGACTTCCTCTTATAATTTTACCACTTCTTTATTAAATTTAGGAACTACAAGCAAAAGGAACAACTTAAAACTTTTGGCTTTTAATTCAAAATAGTTCAAGCTAAGTAATTGGGCCTTGTATCCACTATAGAAAAAAAGTGTTTCAGAGGTCTAGCATTAACCTCAACCAGCTAACTTGTATGACAGTTACAAATTTGTGTTTCTAGGATTCTACCTCAAGTAAATACTTGTTAAGCATATGTGTTCTTTGTAGTGATGTTTAGAGTCAAAATGACTGCTTTGCTTCTGCTGTATGTATCTTGGAGCTGGATTTTTCTATGAATTCAGTGGGAGCTTGTTACCACGTTAAATGCCCAGCTTTCATTAAATCCACACCTGAAGGGTGAGTAAATGAATCCTGAACTTTGCATTTGAAGGTATGCGTACTTTTCATGGATTTTTGCCAATTAGATTCTAGATTTAAAGAGACATTGTGATAACCTTAACCACACTGTGGCTAGACCAAACCTCAATGATCTTGTTCCTAGGGGCACTGCTCTTTGAAGTGGCATCACTGACAGTTTTAGCTACTGTAGGTATTTATGAGGTAC